TAGTGTATTGAAAACATATTTAGTGAAAGAATGAGAAAGACCCTGTGAACATAACCCATCTTTTCCACTCCCCTCTTTCTTTTCTACTGGATCCCAATCTCATATTCAGCCTAACTCTCAGAACAGAGGTGTTACAGCTTGGTACTCTCTTGCCTCCTGCATCTCCAAGGCAAATAAATCCTTTCAGCTCTATCATCTCCATGATATTGCTGACAAACAACACTCTTGATCAATCCACTGTGAAAATTCCTCCTGCTGCCTTCATTTCCTCCTGTCTGGACTGCTGTAATTCACAGCTATCTGGCACTTAACTGCTGCAGTACTCTTTAAGATTGGTACTAGTGCAGTATGCTGTCGTAACCCAACATGTTTTGGCCCATGATTACCTGTGCTTTAATTTCTAAAATCTGCGGTAACTTTTCCCCTTCATCTGTATCTGAAAACTTGAATTTGTTAGCATGTTTTCACTGGGTTCCTCCTTCTAAATCAGCTTGCACTGATAATAGTTAATTGCTCCCCTGACCTCAGGTGTAGTGCCATTCAACCTCAGCTCTGCTACAGTAAATTTTTCATTCACTTTTAATTCCAAATTCTTCCTTTTTCAGATCAAAGATTCCATGGGAAAAATTGCTGAATGATTAAAAAAATTGGACTATTAAGTCCGTGAAAATTGAATGCATGCAAAAGACTTGAATAGGGAGAAAGATCATATTTTTATAAATGCAGAAATTTATGCCACTTAGTTCTGCTGCCTGAGAGATGATTAAAGTAATTGAACTTGATCACAATTAGACCTTCAAATTTGTATTGCTTTGAATGGAAGCATTTTTATTAAATTCCTCGTTCATTATTCCTTTGCACGTACCGTTCAAAGTCTGAGAGCTGCATAATTTACAGGAAAGAAAACAAATCACTGAACATAATAATACCCTCGAATTTCACACCTGTAATTAATCACCCACACTCAACTGCAGACAATAATGTTAGCATTTACACGTGTAACTGTGTGCAGGCATAGGGGGACAGAACCTTTCAGTATTATAACCCACACTGGATTTCAGACACAAGAAATAAATTGGAATACTTTTTTTTATAAGGGCCAAGTGGGACACTGTTCTGTAGCATCAAGGTGGTAGAGTACAGAGAGCACACAAGGCTTATGTTGTCTTGTTTTTTAATTATAGAAATAACAAAGTACAAGGCTGGTAAAATACATGTGTTGTAGACTTGATTTATATACAGCTGTGAAGCATTTTTAGTGCTGGATCATTGTTCCGCTGTGTGAGTTTTGCCTTTAACTTACCCAGAACAAGTGGTTGGACTGGGATGAGGAGTGGCTGTGCTGCACCCTGTGCTGCAGCTGTGGCATGCAAACTGCAAGGGTGTGAAAGGAGCGTGGAGGGCTCTGTGACCACAGGACTCCCATGGAGGAGCTTTCTATTTGCAGCACCAGAAACTCTGGAATAATGTCCTTCTGTGCTGTGAGAAACCACTGTTTTTTTTGGGGGGAGATACATTGGAGTATGTGGTGCAATTAGTCACAGTGATACCCCTTCTGAAATACAGCAAATCTTGAGCATCCCATGCAGAAGTGGAGAAGTCCACAGAGTGCTTAAAAACAAACAAACAAAAACTGCAACAGGCAAAAAAATTAAATAACATGTATCTTTTGGGCTATCTGTAATTTTAAAATTCTGTTGGAAGTACCTAGTCCAGAGTAAGTTCCCTGCTTACTGCAGAGGGGGTGGACTAGATGATCTTTAAAGGTCTTTCCAACCCAAGCCATTATATGATTTTAAGTTTTAGCTTCATAATTTGCCTTGGCACTTTTTACATGGTTTCCCTTTCCCCACTTCTATGCTTTTCAGCCTTCCCAAGCCATGTTTTCATTCATTTGGTTCTAATTCAGTCTCAGTTCAGTATCTTAATGCCAAAACAATTCTTTTGTGGGCAAAGAAGTGAGCGTGTGACGAAGCCACTGACTGGTCCTTAAGGCCATGTTTGTGCTAGGAGGAGAAGCAATCAAGGGCTGTTCTGGGACCCTAAGGCCAAATGACCTGGCACAGCTTGTGTCCATGCAGCTAAATTAATTCACATCCCCAAACCAGGATGACCTCATCCAAATTTATTGCTAGGAATAGTCCCTGTGGCCTGTCCTGCTTGGTCTGTGTTGAAACTGTGCCTAAAACTTTGCCAGATATTTATCAGCACGGACTCTTGTGTGCAGGCTCTGTCCTGTCTGTCATTGGTGCCTGGGGGTCTCACCTTTCCAACATAGGCCAGGTGCAGACAAAGGCTGGCATAGGTCTTCTCTGTGAACTCCCACCAGTTTTAACTCTCAGACTTTACAATAATAAGGTTTCCAAAGCTTTGTTGAGGTCCTCAGGCATTGTACTTGCACAAGTAGGCTGATCAAAAACACAGGATTTATCATCCTGAAAGAATAAGTAGAAAATTAAACCAAGTGAAGAGAAATCCTTTAAGTATCTCCAATAATGACAAATTAGAGAAATAAAAATACTGACTCTCTTAATGTATACATATTTTTAGAAATTATTTTCTTCTGAGATCTTTGTAAATTTAAGTGAAAACTTCCACAATGGAACATGCCAGAGAAGAGCCAAACTCAGCACAAAACATTAGAGGTCTTAAGGCAATAAAATTGAAGATGCAATGTAGAAAACTATTATTTTTATTGAATACTTATTTAACCAATCCACTCCCTGTCTAAAGAACAAGAGTTTCACACTCAGGCATCCAGTTGACTTGACTTTTGATGGCTGGTGAAGCAGCACGGTTGTGTCGTGGTGCTAACATAGCCAAGCAGGGGTTTATTCCTTGGCCCCACTGGGGAGGGAGGGGGTGGTGGGAGGTCTCTAAAGGAGCCCCAGATGCTCAGAGCTGTGTCCATTTGGGTCTCAAAATTCTGAGGATGGAGATCCCAGACCCTCTGGGCAGGGAGCGTTGTCTAGTGCTGAATCATCGGCACAGCAAAAATACTGCCTTAGGTCCAGCCAGTACATCTCCAGCTTCAGCTTGTGACTAGTCTCCCCACCTCCTGCCCCACACCTGAGGAGAGAGCCCAACACTGGCTTTCCAGCCACCTCCTCCAGTGCACTGGAGGGGGGCTATTAATCCCCCCCAAACCTTCTCTTCTCCAGGCTAAACAAGCCCACTTCCCTCAGCCTCTCCTCACAGGGCATGTGTGTATAGAAATGGTGAAACCTATTGCTACAGTAAACATTTATTAAAGCATTTTAAAGAGTATACTGATTTCTACCCTCCCTGTGCATCAAAAGAAAGGTTTCTTGTCGAGGATTGGTTAGCTGACAAGGGTCACATAGACATACTGTAGATGGCTGACCAGGATTTTGGGAAACATCGGACTCTGCTAGTCTGAAGTGCTGGGGTGGTAAGGACACGCTGTCCTTGACTGCAGCTGCTATACGATGACAGGATGCTTACGGTCAGCTAAGGCATGGGAACTTAAGGGAGTAAGCAACCAAGAATCAGGAACTAGGGGAGGGGTTGACGTTTAGGATAGTGACCAATTAATTAGTTAGGTTACAGAATATGTATGATCTCATTAAGAACTGTATAAGTATGCTGAACACTAATCAATAAACGAAGCTTGCTGATCGCTCACATTGGGTGGTCGAGTTTTCCCACTGCGACAGTTTCTAGTGTTAGAAGAAACTTTCAGGTACGTTCTGTTTTAAAACTTAAAATCACCTGATTGTTTTAAATTATCGGGGTTTTTTAATGCTTTCTAAACTGGTCACTCCTTTAATCACATGTTTAGCTGAAGAGCATTGACCACCTACTATTTGTGTAATGCCTTGTGAGTCCTTTAAAACCCAGCTGAGAGAAGGTGATGCAGAATGTTGAAAGTCACCCCAGTTTTTTACAGGCTTCTGAAAGCATCTTATGTACATCTATCATTCTGGTCTAGTATGATCCATTGGTAACACAAGAAGACTCTAAGCATCGCTGGAAAGAAGGGGAGCAGTGGATGTGTTTCTGTGTTGGAAATCACTATTTTGTGCCCTGGCTCAGCATCCCCCACCCCATGGCTACTACTGTCCTACTCAAGCCTCTAACCATCATCCATTTAAGTTTTCTCCTGACACCCATTTTCATTGTCAGCAGGACTTAGTATATGTCTATGCATATATATATATATATTTTTTTTTCCCATTTGATGCCATGTGGTTACAGAGGAATTTCCCTCTGAAGGAAGTCTTTCTTTAAAGTACTTATTTACAACATTTGTTTGGGATTTATAGCAGAATTCATGCTGCTTTTTAGATGTACTTAATATGGATGAAAAGCAAAGTTGTTAGGCTTCTTTGTCATTCAGCAGTTACAATGACAAAGTAATTAAGTCTCTCAGGGGGACTTCCTGCAGTCTGTGCATCTCTTGCTTTGTGCTGTGCATGCATGTGACGGTCACATTTAGTTGTGTTGGTAGAATGCTGACTCCTCGGAGAGAGGGCTGGAGATTAAAATCCCCTCCAGTCCTTGCCTTGTATAGATCACTGTGGCACCAAGCCCTCTTTCAAATGAAGTACGAAGCTAAGCTCTGGGGAATATTTTAGAAAACACTTTAGGTAAGCATGTCCAGCAGCACTTTTCTGGTAGATATATATGACGTGGTTTTCATAAGCCCTACCTCCACTGGTAAAAATAATGTGAAGGGCAAGTAGCTTAAGGTATGGCCTACTAACTTGGCTTAATGTGTATGGCTCTTTCAGTCACAGGAAGTCCACTTAATGGAGATAATTATTGACTGATAAAGTAGCCACGTTACAGACAGGGTCTAATCGATCTTATATGCTTGTTGCAATAATTACACTGTCAGTAACTGAGTCATTATTTTACAAACTGCAGACAGACCGCTTAGGTAGCAGAATATGGTTGTATATATTGTGTGTATGCGTCTTTGCTTTTAAACCACAAACAAGTATTTTTAAAACAAAGTGCATGAGATTTTTTTTTGAATGAGTAATGGTTTTACTGGTTTCATTTTTGCCTCTGTTGTTTTCCTGCAGGTCAAGGCAACAGATGCAGATGCCAACCAGTTTGGTGAAATTGAATATTTTCTTTATGATGGATTCCATTATTATGAAAAATCCAAAGCCTTCCAGATTGACCCACGCACTGGTCAGATCTGTGTATCTCAAGACATTGACAGAGAAGGAGATCCAACCACTTACGATCTGTTAGTAAAAGCTACAGATGGGGTAAGTTTTGCCCTTCCACACTGACAGATTTGTGAATGTTTGCAACTTTAGATGTGCTGTATACTTTTAAAGCAGAATGGAGTATGTGAAAATTGCATGATTTTGAATAAAATGTCTTACTCCTATAGAGGGCAGGACATGATACTTCACAAAGCATAAATTTTGACAAAAATTGTTAAAATTGGCTGTGAAATCCAAAATCACTCCTGAACAAGTTGTTGAAAGCCATTTTTAGGACGTGTTAGCCTCTGCTGATTTTCCTCCCCCTCTTGGAACCAGTGGACTCCCGGTTACCTCCACCTCTTGCTTTCAGGATGATGGCAGCAGTAATAAACCACTACCTTGTGCTAGAACTGTCTGGCTACTGTGAGTGCCAGTGGTTTTCCTGGATAACTTTCCTCATCCTTTTTCACTAGCTGATGCCATTGCTGCAGCAATGTACACCCTCCCTGCAGCAGCATGTCTGGAAGTTTTCCCACTTTACAGGAGGAGCTGGTGCTTGGAAGTGGATGTTCATGGTACAGTGAAGGTAGGGTAGTTGTATGTGCCCGAAATAGTCCATTTCGGATCTCTGTTTGTCAAGGAAGGTGAGGAGATGTTCATTGTGGTGGGAACACATCAAGATGTCAGGGTGTGGACTCTTGGTCTACTGGGTACCATATAACAGAAAATTTTGGTAACCTGACTCCTGAAAAGGACTGGAAGGAAATAATTCCTGGGTTCATTTTGTTATGAAAGTGTCCAAAGGGCATTTTTAATGAGAGCCCAGAAGGAGACCAGCCACTACTTTTCTTAATGTTCTTCAGCTTTAGTAGTGAACTGTGAAGGGGCTGAAGAAAAAGGTTACTGGTTGGTTGCAAATGTTAAAATTAACATAAGGCACTTTTTAAAACTTACAGATTTTGTGTTTTTTCGGGTCACATTTTGCAGCACAATCTGAGCTGGAAAACGTTGAAATTAAATTATTTCAGGCTACACAGTCTTCATTTCATACTTTGAATGTTATGCTTGCATTTAAGATATTGTCCTAAGCAGGTCTAATATAAATAATAAAACAATGCAATTGTGCTAGAAATACTGTATTTCTCATAAAAATGTCTGTGCTTTTTGTTCCGGTACACTGAAGAAACTTGGTGAACTATGACTTCTGTATTCATAAGTAGATGAACTTGCATAGCTGCAGTTGATGCTTGGTATTAATTGTTGCATTTTGAGAATGTAGTAGTTGAGGGTGTATTTATAAGCTGTTGAATTTGGATGAATGTGTGATAGTTAAGCAATTAATCTGCTTTTTTTCTTTAACTATCACTATTCAGTGTTTATTTCAGAGGCTACAGAAACATTCTCATGTATTAATAGTGCCTTTAGCAGTGTGCCTTTTCTTCCCCATATATTTATTCTGAGGAGAAACAGTTATATAAGAAGTTTGTTTGTGTTTGTTTCCTGGCTCTATCTTATTTGAACGCCTAATTTAAGAATATAAGCCTTTTTGTTAGGACAGTGTCTGTAATCTTTCCAGCAGAAGTTTGTCTGTATGGTCATTTTTGGAATTTCTCTGATTTGTGATTTCTGTCTTCAAAATTCCTTTCTAGGCAAAATTTTGTAGCATAGTACAAACTTCTAAGTCTTGAAGAATAAAGCAGTCACTATTACAATGTATAACAGCAGAAAACTATGTATTCTGCTATAGTTTGTAACTTTAGTTTTTTTCTCTCATATAAATGGTTTGAAGCTGTATGAATGTAAGGAACACATACACATATCTGGAACATAAAGGATAGTCTTGTTAATAAAGGCTAAGTGAGAGCTGTACAATAGCAGTGAAATTCTGATAGATTTCTCAGATATCCAGTCTGACCCAGAAGACTATTCTGAAAATGTGAAAGAATATAGGTTTACATGAAAAAAACTTGATGCATTTTTTTGTTAAATTACTGCTCTAGTGATAAATCTCACATAAAAAGTTTAATGCATTGAAACTATAGAGTATTCAGTTTTAAAATTGGTCTGTGATTTGCCTTCTTTTAGGGACCTTGTGTTTTTAGAAGTTCAATAACGGAGAAGGGGATTCAATTTTTGATTGCCTTGTCTGTGACAGGCAGGGCTTGATTTATTTTTTTTTTTACTGGAACTCAGCGCTTTGTAGATCCCATTGATTTCTAAAAATTAGCTCATCTGACACCTAAATACTAGAGCACCTAAACTCAATATTTATCACTGATTTTCAGTGTAGAGAAACTTAGGTTGAGCCACTTTTACAGCAGAAGTGTAGTGGGATATTTTATCTCCTGGAATTCTGCTGCTGATTTTGATGGATTAAAGATGTTGGGTGGGGGGGTTCAAAGTAGAGGCTGTGATCAAGGGAGAAATGTGTACAGAGAAGATGAAGGAAGAGTGAAGGGTCACTGTTGACAAAGGGGAGGGAGAGAGATGGAAGGGAAAGAAAATAACAAAGTTAATTAGAAATAAGGAGGAAAAGAAAGTAGTTTCCAGGTGGTGCTCAGTTTATCTTACAACAAAACTATCAGTTTCTTCCACCTGTTCATGCCTATTCCATTACATGGTTTGGAGCTTGTTGGTCATGTTTTTTATCCACTATGTAGAAAGAGTAATGGGAGAACTGAAATTGCACACAAGAGCCCATGGAGAGGCAAGTGGAAAGCAGATTCTGTTAAACTGATGTTAAATAAACATCCTGTGAGAGCCTGTGGGAGCACTCGCACTGATTAAGTGGGCTCAAGACTGATCATAATGTTAATATTAGCCTTTTCAGCTGGCAGCACTAATTTTGGCCCCAAAGTCAGTCACTTCACGTATGTATTTGGTACTCCTCCTTTAAATGCTTTTATATAAAAAGAGATAATGTAGCTAGGTTTATAGAAAGATGTTTGCACTGAATCTCACAATGTCTGCATCTGTCCAATATGTTTGAATTCTTCTGTTTGGCTTTTTTTTGTTGTTTGTTTGCTTTCACATCGTGACTGAAATGGACACTCCATTGTGTGTTTTTACATATTTGCTTGGGAGTCTCCCAACTACTACGTATTTATGCTTAATTTATGCTTCCTTTATGCTTGTTTTGTATACCCCTGCCTTAAAGAGTCTCAACGTAGATTCATTTTCATACAGGAAACCTTTTTTTTTTTTTAACAGTACGCATTTTTGCTGCTGTACAGTGGTGAATTGTATTGCTGTGTATCATGCATAATTCAATCTTTTTATTCATTCATTTGCATTTTTTTATGATGCCCATCACCTCTCTTTCTCTCAACCAAATAAACAGTAGTGCCTGCAGCTGTTAAAGAAAACCTGTCACAATCCAGAGAAATTTAATTGGAATAATGCTAATTTAAATTCTGTCTAGTGGCATTTGTACTATCTACTTACAGACAACAGTTTGACTTTCAAAGCCAAAATCCAAGTTGCACAATCTTGGGATTGGGGCACAATGAGGGGTGTTCAGGAGTGTCCAGCCTTGCCTCTGAGAGGAGCTGGCCCACACTGTTTTCTTCAAAAGCTGTGGAAGACCGGATGACCTACACTTGTGAGAGCTACTACCAGGCATAGACCAATTCCAGCAACAAACATCTCTGTAGGTAACACAGCGCACGTACCAACATACCGTCTCTCTTCATCAGTGTGGTAAGAAGTTTCAAAAACTGCAGAGCACAGGCAGAGTGTTCTACCTCTCCCTGTCCCCCACCACTGTAGGGAGTGCCACACCACACCTGTATTCCTTACCAAAAGTCCAGAGGTTGGACCTTGTGAGGTTTGTCAGGGTTTTTTTGTCTTTTCCCTTTGCAGAGTAAACTCCCTTGGTTTTGTTTTCTCCAAGTGAGGTTCTTGAGCGCTGTGATAGGACTGCCCATAGTGATGACTTGAAAGCTGACGCTGAATGGTGGTGGGAAGCTTTTTGGTGGTTTTGTTTGAAAATCTGGGCCCCACTGCCTTTTTGTCATTTTGCCTGTCTGACATGGGGATGCAGCGTGGAGGAATAGTATCCTGTATGTTCATCTGCTAATCTTGGCTGCTCTTCCCCTGTCCTTTTGTTGGAAGCTAACACAGTGGCACAGAGCTACTTTTGTATGTGCAGATTACCTGGCATATCCAGTGGTCTGGTTCAGAGAGAGTGCTCCGAAGATCTTGCAAGTACTGCAAGGACTTACAGGGTATCTGTTGCAACTGAGGATGTTTTGTGTAGCACAGCATGAAAGTGCTTTTGACAGCAGGGAGGTGGTCTGCAGGCCTGCAACCCAGGCTGTGCCACTTGAGTGAATGTTGTATGGAACCTTTTGCAATGATTATGTAGCAGCTGAAAAACTGAAGACCAAGCATTCCCTGTAAAGGAAACAAGGATGCTTCTTTTTGTCACCAGTTGATTAGTATTAAGATAATAAGACTTTTTAATTGCCATCTTTTCTAGATTTCAATCTTTGTGAGTCTTAAGACTTTTTATCCTTTTCTGGAATTTTTTAGTTTTAAAAAAACAGGTTTTTTATGCTGAAAACTACTTCAAAATCAGATGCACTTGTAGAAACTAAAATAAAAACCTAAGAATTTAAAATACTATAAAGTAGATCATAAGTCTCATCTAACTGCATATAAAATTGTGTCTGTGAAATATGAAGGTACAGTTACATAGTGCATTGTGATCACATCTGTACTATATGCTCAAGATTGTCACTGAGTTTAGTCAGGGTTATGTGCTTTCTTACACAGTGAGTGTTGCTACTTCTTGTTAGGAAGCAGTCTTTCAAAATTCAACTTAAATGCTTTGAGAATGTTTGCATAGGCAGTTAAATGCACATATGCAAAAAAAATTTAAAAAGAGAGGGAAGACTGAGCTCTAGCTTTATGTATTGTGCATAAACCAACCTCGGTGTCACAGAACACTTGGCTAAAGCTGCCTTATAGTATTGACTCCAATACTATGCCTGGGTTTCTTCAAAACCACGTTTGTATGTAATTGCATGTAATGACTTTCAAGGTCTGTTGCTCAGATAGGAGCTCTAGTTGAGCAACAAGTAGCAGCTCACCTGAATAGCAAGAGTATTTTCTCTTTCATGAAGATATGTTTCCTTTAAAAAAAAAAAAAAAAAATAAAAAAAATAAACTGACATAATTCCCAATTCGACCTGATGAGATTGTAGGTGGAAGTTTTATCATGGAAGGAAGAGACCAGGCTTGGGCTTCAAGGCTGAAGTGCAAGGATACATTTTTGGGGGAATTTATAGTGTATTCTGCTTTCAGTTTACATCATTAGCATCAGATTATGGACTTACCTGTCAATGTAAGGTATGGCATTACCACCTTTTTTGTAACTGCTCATCTTTAAACTGGTACCGGAACAATAATTCGTTAAACATGTAAAGTCTGACAGTTATGTAGATTGGTATTTATTTAGACCCAGAAGAACTTCTGAAGCCTTAGTGACTCTCTTACTGCATAGAAAAATACTTTGTTCTTCATCTCTTGCTTTTTGCTAACAACACTGCTTGTCCAATTTTTTTTGTCTTGTACGCTGAAGCCATTGAAATGTAGAGATAAGAGCTCAAAACTCACAGGCAAAGCTTCTGAAGAAGTTAAGGCTTTTGAAATAATTGACAGTGTGTCTCCATTTTGACAACATTGCAACTTCAAAGTGACATATCTTTTAGGTTTGACACAAAAAATAAAATATGTCTTCATGTCAGGGATCCTGTATATCACAGTTTAGTTTGAAACAAAAATTTGACAGCACAATTCACTGTCAAAAATGTTGGAGACTGTTGTGGAAATCTTGATGGATTCTTAAGCATTTTACAGCATCAAGATGAAGAAATACAGTTATTTGAAGTAGCACCATTTCTACTTACTAAGCTAATAAGTCTCTCTGCCAAAGGCAGGATCATTTTAATTTTTTTGAGACATGATAAAGAGGTGTACTAATCACTTCATATTTTCACACCAATTTGGTCCTACCAAAGTACAGAAAATATTGCTTAAAGTTATTTTGACTTAGTGGTAGTTTCCTGTGTCCGCTTTTTGTTCCATGAGACACAAAACTATCAGGATTCTGACAAAGAAGCTGTGGTGCTTTGACCCACAGTAGGACCATGTGATCCTGCATTCACTCCCCCAACCCAGTCAGTTGGGATGGGAGACACAACAAGGGAACATGGGATCAGGAATGAAGTACAAGGACGGCTCACTCACCAGTTATGGTCACGGGCAAAACAGACTCAAAGTTGGGGAAGGAAAATCAATTTAATTCATTGCAAATCATTTGAGTAGCACAGTGAGACATAATAACCACATCTTACACCACCTTCCCCCACCCCTCCCTTCTTCCCATGCTCAAATCACTTTGCTCCCAATGTCTCTACCTCCCATCCCATGAGCAGCACAGGGGACAGGGAATGGGGATTCAGTCAGTTCACCTCTGCCGCTTTTCGGCATGGAAGTCCAGGAACAAGATGTTCCAACACAAGCTTCCCATGGAGTCATGGACCTCTTCAGGCTCAGCTCCTGGCTCCGGCATGGGGACATCCACGGGCTGCAGACTCACCCCCCACTCTGGGAGTCCACCCTTGCTCTGGCTCGGGGTCACAATTCCAGTCACACTTGCTCTCAGGCTCAACTTCTCTGATCCAGCGTGGAGTCCTCCATGGCCTACACATGGGTTTCTGCTCCGCCATTGAATCTCCATGAGCTGCAAGGCGACTTTCTTTGCCTTCTCCTACACCATGCGGTTGAACTGGGTGTGGGTCTTTTTGTCCTTCCTTCTGGCAGCAAAACTCTCTCTCTCTGTCTGTCTCTCTTTGTTTTGGTTGATGGTCGTCTTTTGTTGGGTCAATCATTTCTCCTCCAGGTATCACACCTTCTTCTTTTCAGGACAGTCCTTCCCCTCACAAATATGGATTTGCAGAGGCATTTCTCTAGTGCTCACTGGCCCAACCTGGGATGAGGGGGTCCACTTTGGAGCCAGGGGAGCTTTTCATTCTCATAAGGTTGCCCTTTTCCCACTACCAAAGAAACCCGGCTTTTCCCCCACCCTGCACACAAACCCAACACAGAAGCCATTGTAATTCTGACTTTTTGTTGCATCAAACAGCACAGTAGTTAAAAATCTCGCTGTCTTCGGAGAGATTAAGTAGGTAATAGGTCTCCAACTTGCTTGCCTCATATACTTAAAATTAATCAATTTCCAAAGAATTTGCAGTCTTTATGTAACTCCATAGGAGAAATACATATTGACTGGAGAGTGGGTTTTTTTCATGTCTTTTAGTAAGAATGAAACTTGAAAGAAGCAGTTTAACACAAGTTTGCATGAGTTTTTGCAATTTGGTTTCATCCTGTTCCAAACTTTGCCTCTTTTTAGATACTTTTTATTCTTGGCCTCACTTCTTCTCTGACCCTCTTCCATTAAAAATGTTGTTTCTGATTCCTGTCCTAAAGTAGCTGAAAGCTGTGGAACCACAAACTGTCTTCTGACAGTAGGCTTGAACAGAACACATAGGGCTCACCTTTTAGCTCTTGAGCATAGATTTTCTTGTGGAAATCAAGGTGTTGGGGAAGCAGCTCACCCTGAAGTGGGGTTGGGGTGTTGCCAGTGAGTCCACTAGGTCTACACATCTCAACTTCCCCATATCAGCACAGGGTTTCATGGTTGTTTCAGTAGTTTAAGTCTGGTGCTAGCCCAGTACCCTTCACAGTCCTGATCCCCAAGCACATGTCCTGGCTGCTGGCTGCCTTCATGGCAGTGTGTGCCCTGGAAACTTACCATACCTTATTTTCTTTGGAAGAAAACCCAGGCATGCTAGGAGGATGTGGACCAGCTCTCCTAGTCTGTGGGTGAAACATAGATGCATGATGCACAAGATCATCTTAATTTTCCACATACTTGAGCTTTCATGGGAATGTCACTGCCACCCAACAGAGGTAGTATTACTACATAGCAGAAAAAAACCACAACAGAACAAAGCAAAAATCCCTATGGAAATATGGGTGGGAATACAGATAGTATTTTTGCCCGTAAGTAAGTTGGATGATAAGCAAACATTCAGAAATAGTTTTGGGGGAGATTGTTAAGCTGCAGGGCAAGTCTAAAGGAGTAATATCTAGTCTGAATAATTGGATAGTTTAATGAAGGTCAGGTTTAAAAATAATTGACATGAACAATTAGGTTGCAGACATATGCAACCTAGTTGTTTTGGGTTTCTTTTTATATCATAGCTACTGTGGCTGCAAAATTAAGTTTGGACTTGCTTAATGTAGCTTGTCATGTGTATGCATCAGCATCCCCTCTGTGTCAGCGGCTTTGGTAAATGACGAATTAGCACAAGCACAGCGCTCTCGGTGTGACTTTGAAGAGGGCGGGATTCTTCCTCAGTCTGTATCTAAACGTACCGCGTACAGCACGTGCAGGCTGTACATACCTGTACTGCTTTGTGCCTTCGTTGTGCTTGTCAGTGCCCCAGTACTCATCATTAGCTGGGCCACGAGTGGAGATACTTTCTTTTAAAAATATCTGTAGTTGTTACAGCTGTAAAATAACCCTGGAAATACGAACCCCTCCAAATCGATGGAGGGAGTCCACAGGGAGTGTGAGGCAGTGCCTCTGAGATGTAAATTGCTATTTGTTTCACTCAGGGGGCTGTGGGGGTCTACTTTTCAGCACCCACAGAATTGTCTTTTTTTCCAGATTGTCTCAAAATTCACTGCTTTGCCATAGCAAATCATGATTTTTCTGTAGCATAGCTTGATAAGCTAGCTTGTCCTTGGTCTTTGCTTCTCCAGTTTCACCGCAGAGCAAGGCTAAACGTAGTCCCATGGCTGCCCATGTGATATTTCAGTGGGCTGTTGGTGGGCACCTCTAGCAGGAGCTTCAATTGTTTGGAGAGCAGCACCTCCACCAGGCAAAGAGGTACAGTGTCGAAGCTGTGACCAAGGCCTGGCTCTCTTCCCAGCTCTCTGTGTAG